AGGAAAAAGAGCTTGTATTCATAAAGTAGCTGGTAAAGCTACATTAGCTCAAATAGATAGTATTGCGTGATGTGATATCAATTTATATTTTTATAAAAAAAAAAAAAAACAATATTTATTTATTTATTTCAAATAAAAATATTTTTGATTAATAGTGTATGAAGATTCTATTAGGTATATTCTATCATTCATTTTTCTTCTGATATATGTATGAATTGTAAAGGATCCCGCCGAATTCGGTAACCTATCTTAAACCAGAATGCCATATCTATGGACTTGTACAGCGATTTGCGATGCATTGAAGGGTAGATAAAAAATCATGTTCTATGAAAATTTTGATTATCGGAGAGTTCATATAGTGCTCGTAATTCATTAAGAATATACATGGTACTCATAGGCATTGTGATCCCTCATATAAACTTAATTCGATACAGTTACGCATGCTCTTCAATTTTCTATAATCCACAGTTTCCATTGTGATTTTTTCATAGTTAAAACTATTCCCTTTTCTTCGGTCTGAGTTATTATCGTGATTAATCAATATTCTAGCGAATCCAAGTCTGTGGCGTAACACAAGTGAGCATCAACATGAAATTTTCTCAAAAACTGCATAGTATCGAACTTTATTATGTTTTACACATAACATCTTTCGGAATAGCATGGGCTCAATATCAACTTGCCAGCTTGTTACCTAGAATAGTCTATTTTTCTATGTGAAAGAACAGGTATGTTGATGATATTTTAGCAATAGTCAACGAACTTATCAAAAATTTTCACATACCTATAATCAGCGCCGCATCCCTAATGAACTACTATAAATCACTCCTTTATGAACGGAAACAAAATTTTTGGCCTCCAGATTCCTCGAGGGAGTACGGGAATACGGATGCAGGAAGGAAGTTTGCAATATTACGATCAGTAGTATATGAACCCTCGAAAAATGAAAGTTTTGATAAAACTTGATTTCTTATATATAATTCGATGCATCACAAATTGTTCTACAAGATCACATATATAGCTTCCAGGTTCAAGATAGATCACCAAATCTAACGAGATCCTTTCAAAAAAGAGATTTGTTTTTACACGATCAAGTAAGATTGAAAGCATTTACAATAGACCAGAGATCTAAATAGAGTCCCTTCAGGGTACCCCCCCCCCCTCTTTTTTGACCATTTCTGGAACTCAAAGACGGTAAGTTCGATCGAATTGAAATTTTTAGTACAGATAGAACACCTAAAATGATGAGACACGTGTTCGAGGAAAAAATTCTCTAAGGCGGTTTTCATGGTTTT